CTGAAATTGATTGATTAAATAAATTCAGTGCTATAATTGTTTCTAATTGTGCTACATTGTGGGCCTATGTCTGAGCCCCCACCCCTCTGAAAAATGTTATACACATTACCTTGAATTTCTTGGTTGTGTTATTGCTACAGAGAAAGCTGAAAATTGCCCCTTTTCAAAATAGCTTTACAATATATGGTTTCTTTTAGATTTTTAAAATCTTCCAACCATGGAAGTATGTTTTGTTGATTTTGCCCAGATGAATATTTGTCAAAAATCAATGGATTGAACGGCTAGATAGGACGTTTTTTAAGAAAGCAAAATACAAAATAAAGAATGCAGCATACTGAAAGTTGAATTCCCACTAAATAGCACAAAATGTCATTGTTCAGAACCTCTTTCAACAAGGATGTCACTGATATATTTTCCTTCCATAGCACTTTTAATTTTAGATGAATATAAAGAAACCATTTAGTGACACTGCATTTAATTAGGTGACCGTTACAAAAAAACAAACAAACAGGAACTATAACACCTGAGTTTTGTCTCTTTCTAAAATAAAACCCCTTCTAAAACCTCTGAGTCTGAATTTCTAATTTATACGACTGTGTTGTATGTTCTTCTCTAGGATTACATCTTGATGTGATCTTCTCTACTATGTTTCTTGTTCCTATTTCGTTCTCTGGCATTGGTCCACACAGGCTGCACAGATGCTCCGGAGGCTTTCCCAAAACAGGGTTTGAGGACCCATGTGGAGTTTCAGGCAGGAAAAGGAACTGGCCCGCCCAGCTCCGTATTCTACCAGTGGAACACCAGTGCTGGATCCTGACCACTATGTCTCTAAAAGATTATATTAACATCTTCCATTTCTGAGTGCATACTTTCAGACAAGTTAAGATAACATAAGTTGTTTTAAGCCTCCTTAGTCCATCCCTTAATTATAACCATATTTTAAATATGTTCTAAATCATTGTGAAGCCTCAAGAAGCAGCATTGTGAAGATCTTCAAGGAAAAAATCCATTTTTTCAAATGCATTCCTTGACGTTAATCTGCTTTTCAAGCATCCCTGGGAAAGAAATCATCATCCTCTTACAACTGCAGAGCTGGACGGGACCTTATGAATCACTGAGACCAGCCTTTGTCAGGAAGGCACAGTGGGGAACTGGAGCTGTTTAAAGTGGAATGATCCAAGATGAGTTTGATGGACTAGAGCTTGCAATGTATTTATGAGGTCAACACATCCAGAATCCCATAGTCCCAGGGACCTTGCCAGCTGTGGGACTCTGCAAGCTGTAATCCAAAGACGTTGATGCCAGTGGATTTCTGACTGTTCCAACCATGCATGATTCATACTGTAAAAAATATGCCTTGCCTAGATCAAACCAAAAAGTCATATAATTCATAAGTCACCAGTCCCTTACAGTGACCTACTAGATACCTCCAGGAAGCCCAAAAGAATAGGATGGAGGCCATAATTTTCTCTAGCTCTTTTTCTCCAACAACATTTTCCTTGGTATAACTGCCTCTGAACATCCCATTCTGTCATTATGGTTATTTGGAATACTTAGCATTTGGGTTGTCTTCTATATATTTGTCCCATCCCCCTTTAACTGTGATCAGTTCTATATATTTGTCCCATCCCCCTTTAACGTTGTAAGCCAGAGGTTGACAAACTTCTTTGGTCTGTTTTACTTTTCTCTAGACTCCTAAGATCTACCATCCAGAGGCTAGTGCAAAAGATGCACACATCAAATTAACTATTCTGAACCTATGAGTTGGGTTTCAAGGCCAGACCTGAATGCAACTCACAGTCCTTCCACACAAAATCTCACTCCTGGTTTCTCCTGGCTTTCATCACTTCAGTAGTATAATTTAGGTTGATATGAAGCTGTCGTTATTGTCATTACACTACTGTGATCACAAATTATTGCTGACGTACTATAACATGTAGGCGTCCAAGTGTTGGTGCACTGCATCTCCCACTTCCTCTAGACAGTTGTAGTCCAGCAACATTGGGAGACCCACACATTGCCTAGTCCATGATAAAAAAAAATTAAACGTCTGGTCTTACACCCTGCATTGCTTCACACATGCATTGCTCCAATCAAGAGCCATTGTACAACACTCTTCTCCAATGCCAGCTCTAGTTATTGTCATTACACTACTGTGATCACAAATTATTGCTGACGTACTATAACATGTAGGCGTCCAAGTGTTGGTGCACTGCATCTCCCACTTCCTCTAGACAGTTGTAGTCCAGCAACATTGGGAGACCCACACATTGCCTAGTCCATGATAAAAAAAATTAAACGTCTGGCCGTACACCCTGCATTGTTTCACACATGCATTGCTCTGATCAAGAGCCATTGTACAACAGTCTTCTCCAATGCCAGCTCTGTGGGGTGGGTGGGAATGAGCCACTCATCATGGAGACAAACCTGACATATGTTGGAGAAGTACACTGCACGCACTCTTTAGGGGTGTCATTTTCCACCTTGGCCTCAAACTGACTAGCAGCACCAGCTGTTCTGCTGTAAAAGTAGCTTTTCTGATATCTGTCTCATGTAGCATGGTGTTTCCTCCAGCAGTGACCAGGCAGATGTCCTAAATGCTCAGGAAGGTACCCATATGTATATCAGCTTGGAAGTGGAGGGTATTTTTGCCTGTAGGCTTATGAAGACCAGAATAAATAGAAACCTGCTTTTGTAGTTGTATAACAAGAGTGTCAAAGCAGTCCATCCGATGTTGTTGTACTACAGCACCCATCAGCCTTGGCCTTTTGTCCTCTGGGCCAGTGATAATGAGAGCTAGAGTCCAGCAACAATGCATGGATTATACTTTCCCCACTATTGCTGTATACCGGACAAACCTGACATATGTTGGAGAAGTACATTGCACACGCTCTTTAGGGGTGTGGTTTTCCACCTTGGTCTCAAACTGACTACAATGCATGGATTATGCTTTCCCCACTATTGCTATATACCTTTGCTATCTTCCAAGACAGATTTCACTGGAAGTTGCATTAGACTGAAAAACCTATGAAGAAAATATCCAGATTGCTTTTGATAGGAAAACAGCACATATAATTAGATTCTTCCATCCCATCCAGTGGGCAGACATCTCAAAGTGTCACCTTTAAGATACTTAGCCTGAAACATGTCTGCTGTGGGTTTAATAAGTATGGAGACCTGGACATCCATTTCATAAATAGCCAAGCTCCTCGAATCCTCCTTCAGTCAGTGAGGCTGAAGCTGTCTAATTCATCATGGGTAGGTAATCCTGGTTCTGATGGGCTGCTCATGGACTGACCAAGGAGACAGATCCTCCTTTGCCACTTGGTCATGAGCTCCCTGTAGAAGACATTCCACATTATACTAGAAATAAATAGAAACCTGCTTTTGTAGTTGTATAACAAGAGTGTCAAAGCAGTCCATCCGATGTTGTTGTACTACAGCACCCATCAGCCTTGGCCTTTTGTCCTCTGGGCCAGTGATAATGAGAGCTAGAGTCCAGCAACAATGCATGGATTATACTTTCCCCACTATTGCTGTATACCGTTGCTATCTTCCAAGACAGATTTCACTGGAAGTTGCATTAGACTGAAAAACCTATGAAGAAAATATCCAGATTGCTTTTGATAGGAAAACAGCACATATAATTAGATTCTTCCATCTCATCCAGTGAGACTGAAGCTATCTAACTCTTCATGGGTAGGTAATCCTGGTTCTGATGGGCTGCTCATGGACTGACCAAGGAGACAGATCCTCCCTTGCCACTTGGTCATGAGCTCCCTGTAGAAGACATTCCACATTATACTAGAAATGTGCTTCAGCAATGTGTTTTGGAAGCAGCTCGGCCCAATACAGTGTAGGAAAGACAGTACTGGGCAGGGTATCCTACGGTTTGTAGGAAGTAACTAGCTGGAAGATTATGGCCATGCTTTGAGGATTATGTCAGTAAGGTCTGTCTGAGTTCATTTATCTTAGAAAAGCAGGAAATCTGCAATAAGTTGTACATTAAGTTGCCTTATTCAAGGCCAAATCACTGGGATCTGTCATCAGTTCTCCATAGCTCATACAAGGATCTTTACAGCCCAGTATAGTCCATTTAATTGGAGATGTCAGGATTTGAACATGAGGTTGTTGTCATTCAAAAGCATTTGCTCTGTCACTGTATATGACTTCCTTCTTCCAAAAGATGACTCCTAGTCCATTTGTGCAACCATGGAATGGGACTGTAGTGGTTTTGTGACTGGTGTGTTGGACTGGGAGACCCAGTCAGTCCCCATTTAGCCATGGGGCTCACTGTGTGGCCTTGGACCAGTCATTGTCTCTCATCCCAAAATACCTCAGAATTTTTGCGAGAGTAATTTAAAAAAGGGGGGGAGGAAAACTGTGGACAAGCCAGCAGGAAAAGCATGTGATTAAATGTAATAAATAAATACAGAGGAGTCAGCCTTGGTTTTTGTGGCTGCAGGCATTCATAGACTTCTTTGGAAAAATTCAGCAATTGCATTAGCTCTACTTGAGAATTGTCAGAAGGTATTTTTCTGAATGGTACCATATGGTGTCACCTTAAGCAAGCAACACTGGGGAGCTAGCCAAGGTTCTTTAGGGTATGCATTTGTTAAAGCATTGGTGGGAAACATGGGACCCTCCAGATGCCATTAGATTCAAGCCTCCATTATCCTTCACTATTGATTATGGTAGCTAAGGCTGATGAAAGTTGTGGAGGGCTACATGTTTCTCCTGCTTGTGGTAGAAAGTCAACCAGGCTTCATTTGCGTAGTGCTCCAAGGGATGCCAGGAGAGCAAAAACGCAAGAGGTAAGAAGAGTTACTGTTTTTGGACTACATCTCTCGAAATTCTTCCATGTCAACATAGCCTTCTGAGAGCCATAGTCCAAAAAAGTAACTTCTCAAAGCTGTTAAAGGGATGTATCCTGCCATTATGCAGGGAATACTCCAAGTCCATGAAACCAAGCTCACTTGTTGCCTTGTCTTTTTCCGCAGCTGGAATATGACCGATCACAGATGGTTGTAAGTCCACCACTGTCTGGATCAGATACTTACCCTCGAGGCCCAACAAAGCTACCTCAAAGTCAGAGCAAAGCCACCTATCCAGGCAGTAGCTACCAGTACCCAGCTGTCTATCACAAATTCTCTCACTTCCACCACCAGCCTTCCCTGCAGCCCAGCTCCCATTACATTTCCACAGCATCATACCCAAGCTCCCCAAGCATCACTTCAAGTGCTTATCCTCCACCCAGCTGGGGCTCATCATCAGATCAGCCGCCCTCCCGGGTGTCACATGAGCAGTTCCGAGCAGCTTTGCAGCTGGTGGTGAGCCCTGGGGATCCTCGCGAGTACTTGGACAACTTCATCAAAATTGGGGAAGGCTCCACTGGGATAGTTTGCATTGCCACAGAGAAGCACACTGGGAAGCAGGTGGCCGTGAAGAAGATGGATCTCAGGAAACAGCAAAGACGGGAACTGCTTTTCAATGAAGTAAGGATGTTTACATTCTGTCAGCTTTAATTGGACTTAAGCATGTTAATAGATTGTGCTCTGTATCGGTAAGAGGCGTTGTTTCTATCCTTATCTCTTAACTTGAGAGCCCCCAATCCTGAACTGGCAGATATCGGTGTAGCGCAGTGGTTAGAGTGCTGGACTTCAACCAGGGAGTTCCAGATGCACATACCCTAATTCTAGAACTTTGAAAAGTTCTTTCTTTTTTTTAGAGTATCATTCCCACTGTTCCCCGGCTGAAACAGCCAGTGCTCCAAAAAAAAGTTATTCCAAAGTGTTCCTAAGCTCTTAGTCAGCCACAAAGCTTGCTGAGTAGGCATGGTTGGTCACTCTCTGTTTCACTTACCTCACAACTTTATGTTGTGAATAAAATGGAAGAGGGGGAAGCCAAGTTAACCATCTCACCCTCCTTGGGGGAAAAGCAGGGATTCTGAATCAAACAACCCACAGTATTTTGGAAATGCGAATGGCAGGATTGCAGAACTGTTTGCAAACAAGGATATGTGCTTGGTCTTCTCTCCCCCCCCCCCCCCTTTTCTGGTAGTTTTTTTTTCTCCTGGAGGAACTACTTCCATCCGTCTGAACTTTTCTATATTCCACTTGGAATCTAAAATGTCTTGTCCAATGGGAGTGGGCAATTTTGCATCACCGAAAGGAAGGGAAGGGGGGGGGAAGGGTACCTTCTACGTCCTTGCTCTCTTTTTGATGGTAGGAGTGAACAGGCTTTCAAGCAGAGGTGACTTTTGAAGATAAGTGACTATCCTCTGCTATGTAGAACACATGCTCTTCATACTCCCACTCCTCTTCCCACATCCTTCAGTTACTGGGCTTATTTTATTGTTTTAAAAACTTACTAGAAGCACTGTTCTCCTCTCGCACAGGGAAGCCTTGTTCTGGTCCAGTCCCGATCCTCCCCATACCTTGTACCAAAACATCCACACTTAGGAGTGTGATGAGTACTCAAACTTGTTCACAGTGATTGTCAGCAAGATTTGCCACTGCACCAGTGAGATTTCCCATTTTCTCATTTTCCCTATTTGTTTGTTTGTTTGTTTATTATTCTTTGCTGGTTTTTCTGTGGAGGAAACTGCCAAATCCTGTGCAGATTGATATCATTTCTGGCGAATCCTGGCCAGGAAAGATGCCATTCTCCACACAAATTTTAATAGTTAGAAGAAGAAGTTGCTACTGCTTTCAGATATTCATGTGCAAAGAAATCTTGCTATGAAGAGCAACCCAACTCTGGTTCCCCCTAAGAGCCACAGCCTGCAAGATTCACATTTCCAGTCCCACCCAAGAATTCCCTTACCTTCAAAAGACACTAGTGTTAAGCACAGACATTGCCAGAGCCTTGTATCAGCATTCAGGTTATAGCAGCGTTCTGGTTGCTGTTGCCAAAAGTGGATGAGCTTCTTCAAAAACCCGAGCCAAAAAGGGAAGACACAGACATACTTACAGCAAGGAAACCATAAGGAATTAGCTCTTTTCCTCAACTATCCCAAACCTAAGAAATGCCTTGCACCTAGCCAGATCATGGTTTATCTGTGGCATTAGTACTGCTGCTCCCAAATGTTCTTGAACTCCAACTCCTGTGCTCCCTAGTCAGCATAGTCAGTGGACAAGGATAGTGATGACACACTTAAGTGACATCTAAGGATAAAAAAATCAGGAGCTATCGATCTGTACTGATTGATGGCATCTCCCCACCTTTTCACAGACCTGAGTCTTGCCCAGTTTTTCCTGGAGATGCTAGGGATTCAGCCCGGTGGGATCTTCCACATGCAAAGCAAAAGCTTTTCCATTGAGCATCATCTCTTGTCTGAACTTCTCTTCCGTGGCTGTCCTGTAGTCCTGTAGTCAGAACAGCAGGCCAGAACTTCTCTTCCGTGGCTGTCCTGTAGTCAGAACAGCAGGCCGTTGCTGGCACCAAAGCACTGTTGTCTTCTGCAGTGCTGGCAGTGACCACAGCCGTCAGATAGGATTAACCCCATTGAGCTGAGCAGTGCCGCACTGTGCCAAAAGCTCTTCATAAAACACACACACAGGGCCAGCTGCTACCTTCCTAGAGGTGCATTTTGGTCATGATTCAGAAGGCCTAGCTACACCCATGCAAAGGTTCTGGTGCAGGCATTTTCCTACCCTTGTGGCAAATGGATACATAAAGGGCCTGCCCCCTACCCCAGGAAAAATGAGTACATGGTCTTCAAAATAATCTGTAACTACAACTTCCATTGTTGGATTCCAGGACTCGATTAGAAGGATTCCAGATGATCTGATTGGCGCTTCTGTCGAGGCTCTGGTTGATGGCAGGCTTGCCACCGCTACCAGGACTGTTGACATGATAGCTCCTAAATACCCTCTCTGGAGCAGAGCTCGTCCAGCGCCCTGGGTTAACCAGCAGCTGCGAGCTATGGAGCAGAATAGGAGAAGGCTAGAATGCAGGAGACGGGACCAGATGGAATATAATCGGAAAGCTGTCTGGATCACGACTAACGATTACCTTACTAAGGTGAGGGCTGTCAGTTGAGCTCACTGCGCTGTCCAGATAAGTGAAGCTTCTAATCAGCAGGCAGAACTTTTCCGTATAGTCCGCGATCTATCCGGAATTGGTCACAGTGATTGGCCTCCCATTAGCATCTCACCCAAGCAATTTGCAGCATTTAAAAAATCTAAAGTAGAGACCATCTTATTCTCACCCAAGCAATTTGCAGCATTTAAAATATCTAGAGACCATCTTATCCCCTATTTGAAAACAGTAGATCAAGCAGAGACATCCAGAGCTCCACCATGCCTGATGAGATGTAATCATTTTCTGCCTGTGACATCAGATATGGTGGACAAAGTGCTTGATCGCCGTCGTGCCACCACCGCCTCCCTTAATCCTTGCCCAGCCTGGCTAATCAAAGCAGCTAGGCCTATAACAACTGAATGGGCCACTGCAATAATTAATAGGTCTCTCCAGGAGGACAAGGTTTTTCTTGCCCTCAAGGAGACACTCATTAGGCCCATCAGGAAGAAATCAAGTCTGGCGTCGGATGACATTGGCAACTGTAGGCCCATCGCCAAGGTTTCCTTCCTGAGCAAAGTGGTAGAGATGGTGGTAGAGATGGTGGTGGCTGACCAGCTCCAGGTCCTTTTGGACAAAACCAATGCCCTGGATCCATTCAGTGGGGCTTCAGGCCGTGCCATGGTATGGAAACAGCATTGGCCACCCTGTTTGTTTGATGACCTGCTGAAGGAGGCGGACATGGGCCAAACATCTCTGTTGGGCCTCGATATCTCAGCCGCCTTTGATACCGTTGACCACGGTATCCTCCTGGGGAGGCTCTCCAAGTTGGGAATTGGTGGTCCGGCAATTGCCTAGCTCGATCCTTCTTGAAGGACTGTTCTCAGAGAGTACAGCTTGGGGAGAGTGTTTCTGCCCTGTGGAGTCTCGATTATGCTGTTCCGCAGAGTTTGATTATCTCCCCGATGCTGTTTAATACCTATATGAGGCCACTGGGTGGGGTCATCAGGGGGTGTGGAGTTTTGTGACATCAGCACACTGATGCCACCCAGCTCTACATCTCCTTTTTTTCCAACAACAGTGGATGCTGTACTTTCCCTTCAGTCCTGCCTGGAGGCTGTACTGCAATGGATGCAGGAGAATGGACTGCGGCTGAATCTGGACAAGATGGAGATCCTTAGGGTGGGTGGCCCCTCCATTGGTGGTTTGGGAAACTCCTTCTCTTTTGGGGGAGCGACTCTCACCGTGAAGAGTGAGGTTCTCAGCCTGGGGGTTCATCTGGATCCGGCACTCACCATGGAAACCCAGGTAGTGTCAGTGGTTCACTCGTCCTATTTCCATCTCTGGTGGATTGCCCAGCTGTGTCCCTATCTTGATGATGGGGTACTCACCACTCTGGTCCATGTGCTTGTAATCTCGAGATTAGACTACTATAATGTGCTCTACGTGGGGCTACCTTTGAGATTGATGTGAAAGCTTCAAATAGTACAGAATGCGGCAGCCAGACTTCTTACTGGGGTGAGAAAATATCAGCATCTTTCCCACACTCTGGCTGCCTTGCATTTGGCTGCCCATTCATTTCCACATTGATTTCAAAGTGTTAATGATGACATATAAAACCCTAAACAGTTTAGGACCTCGATAGCTTGTTCTAGCCAGGAAGAATGTGGCAGCCAGGCTTTTCACTGGGGTGAGAAAATATCAGCATATCTCCCCTACTCTGGCCGCCCATTCATTTCCGCATTGATTTCAAAGTGTTAATGATGACATACAAAGCCCTAAACGGTTTAGGACCTTGATATCTAGCGGAACACCTCCTCCCACTTAGATCTACCCAAATCACTTGTTCTAGCCAGGAAGAGTGGCTGAAGGGCCTAACACTGAGGGAGGCCCGGAGAGAAAGAACAAGAAACCGGCCCTTCTCAGCAGTGGCCCCCTCACCTCTGGAACAGTCTGTCCCCAGAGATCTGTCTAGCTCCCTCGCTGGGTGTTTTTAAGAGCAAACGTAAGACCTGGCTCTTTAGGCAGGCTTTTCCTCCTGTCATCACCTGATTATTTTTCTCATTTTGAATGATATTATTACTTTTGTTTTTCTTTTAATATGTTGTTTTTACTTTTATCTGCTATTGTTAGCTGCCCAGAGTAGATTTCAGTCTAGATGGGCAGCGTATAAATTTAATAAATAAATACATAAATCATTGCCTCAACATTGCCTGTGCTGTTTTGGGCTGATGTCAGCTGTAGTCAAACAATATAAGGAAGGTAACAAATCTCATTGGCCCAGGATGTTGGGCTGCCCAGAGTTTAAGAAAATATGCGACTCCCCCTGAGCTCCATTCTGTCTTTAGCCGGCCAGACTGGCAATTCAGTTTTACTTCAGCACAGCAGAAGAGTATCCTGCAGTACATTTGAGGGTACCAGATCAATTCTGGGCACCCAGGACAAGCAGTGGGAGGACCGGGAAGAACAGTTGTGGTGTCCAGGAGTAACAACCAGGAAGCTGTCACTGTTGACCCCAGCAACTGTGGCTAGAGACAATTTGTTGTTCCATTCTACCAAGTAGTAGGGCTTACTTCCTTATTCCTGCCTGGTATTCTCAATAGTGGTAGAAAAGAGGATTGAACCAGCTTTCTTTATAGCTGCTATATGTTGCACCAGTCACAAATTCTAGTTGCAGTTTGCAGTGTCATGGCACTGCTACACTCCAGTGCAAATCCCTTTCTAAATGCTGAGGGTGCAGGGGATTCTACTGTCATTTCTGGTACTGAGTCTTATTTGACCATACTAAACCATCAGTCTACACAAGGATTGAGCATGCAATTATTTTAGTTCAGGATTATGGTGATGGTTTCATGTTTTTATTTTGAAAAATCTGTGCCATTTGCCAATAAGGCAGTGCATAAAAATATGAGATTGTTTCCATAACCATGGAATTCATCAGTGGCTTTTGCTCTTCTTCTAGGTTGTAATAATGAGAGACTATCACCATGAGAATGTGGTCGACATGTACAACAGTTATCTTGTGGGGGATGAGCTGTGGGTTGTGATGGAGTTCCTGGAAGGCGGCGCTTTGACAGACATAGTGACTCACACAAGGTAGGCTTGTTTGGTGTGCAGTGGGCACATTTTCAGATGACTTTGAGCAAGCAGATCTGCTCCATCACAGCAGAGCCTCCTGGTTCACTCCACTTGTGAGAATAGAAACCAATCTGGTCTCACACCTAAGTGAAGGGAGCCTGTATACAGGGAATCCCAGGCATCTGTCTGTGTGCACTGAGACCTGTGGATGAAGGTGAAAGATGATGAACTGTTGGCAAGGAGAAGAACAGGCCCAGTTCATTGTGCCATTATGTCATCAGAAGCAGCAAAAAAAGAATTGGTGGGGGAGGAAGTGCCAGTCTGGTATATCCTCTATGCTAACTCCTGTTTCCTCCACTGTTTCTATGGCAACCTGTGAATTTACTAAACATAGCTTGATTGTACCAGTACCAGCAGACTTACTCATATGATATGGAAGAAGACATGCAAAGCAATTTCCAGTTTTGAATTGCTGGTGTGGACAATTATCCTGCCTCTTCCTTACGTCCAACATAGCTTACGTTGAGATGAAAATAATAATAGTAATCTGCTTTCAGCTAGATGCACAAACCATACGCAAGCCGCAAGGCTTATATTTCAGGCCTTGAACACCTAGCATAATGTGCATAGCGTCCATCAGTGCTAAAATACTCTCAGTGGTAAATACATTCCCATTTCCAGTGAGCTCAACTAAAGATGCGTATACTACCCCAGCAGTGTGTCAAGCAAACCAACTCGTGCAGCCATGTTCTCCCTGCAGGGCCGGTAGTCATTCCGAATTGTAGAAAAGGGCCTTCTGACAGCCAGCTTGTTCAAAATGCTGGACGTAGAAGCAAAGAAAGAGCTCAGTTCCAGTGACAATAAGAGCCGTTGTTGAATCAGGTTTTTTTGTAAATAAAATGGCTTAAAAAATCCTGTCTACACGATGCAGACAGAAGCACAGATTTCCCCCCCCCCTTCAACCCCCAAGAATCAGGGTGTGTGTGTGCTGTACTATATTTGAAAGTGAGGCATTTTACTGTGCTTGCAGAATAAAATAAATTTATTTTGTCACAAATGTAAAAGCACTTTATTTTAAGCATTATGGCACATGTGAATGCCTCTGTTGGTTTTACATTGCCTTGCGATGCTGCCTCCCACAACCACTCCTTGCTCCTGCTATAGGTTCTTTCCCTCCTTGGCAAGCAGCCTCTCTCGTCAGGGTCAGCCCTTGTCTGACACCATGGCTGTGTGTGAGTGTGTGTGTCCCTCCTTGGCAAGCAACATGGAGTGTCTTGAAAATACAGCTCTACTATTAAACTCTTGAAATTTTGACTGTGTATTCTGGAAAACCAGTGCAGTCATTTAAAAAAAAAAAGAATGAAATAAGAGTAACCCAAAGGAAATGTGAACAGGGATACAAAGCCATGTGACAACCATGTAATTTTAAATAACTTTAAAAAACAACACAGCATATTTCATGTTATTCCTTTAATATAGCCCCATCCAAACTGACAGAGAGAGGGTTTTCTGATCCTCTTTGTCTTTTTGACTATATATGGTTACTTCCAAGTCCAATTTACTTCCACTCACTCTCTTCCTCCTTTCATATTTGTTTTAATCCAGTGGCCATAGACAGCAGCACCCTCCATACATTTTCTGTCTAAACAACATGTAGTTTCTTTATTAAAAGCTCTCTCTGCATAAGAACCATTTTGATATTGATTCCAAAGAGCCAGTTTCCACAGCGAGCCAGAAACAGGGCCTTGATGTTAACTCTTGAGGTCAGGCCCGCACATTAAATAAACTTAACACTGGCACTTTTCTTTCATAGGTAACATTGTTGATTGGAAGCTTTTGCTGACTAGGAGAAGGCATAAAATCGGAAACAGCGATTAAGAGTCCCATGGCATCTTAAGAGCCAGCAGACTCATTAAGACAATAATTTTCCTGGGCTACTTGGGACCCAGGTGTACATGGCTGGAGGCAGGATTTCAGATAGACTGGCAATTTATTATCAATATTGCTAGTTCACAAAACTGTTGCTGGCTATGCTCTGTCTGGTTTGACCCTAAGTATTCAGATGAGTCCTGCTGCATATTGGAATGTATGGCCTTATACAGAGTTTTAAAAAGGCATGTGTCCATGAAACACAGAGGAACATGTGCACCCGTCTTGCCTTGATGTCTTTGGGCATCCTAACTTCTCCTCCAACGTTGCCACATTGAGCAGAAAGATCTGAAGTCAGGATATTGTAAAGTGATTTGCTGAATTTGCTTTGAATTCTCCCCAAAACTAGTAAACCTACATCATCAGGGTTCCTGTTGACAGAAAGAATGTGATGCACACTCAGTTGAACATGTCTAGAATCCCCCTTCAGAATGCCCACCTCAACATGGAAAGGTGGAGGATAGTGCCAGCATGGTGTTAGTCTTTATTTCCATGCATTCTGCTAACTTACATCCTTTGAATGACTACGCACTTGCATCTTCATTCTGCTGAGGTCAGGCCTGAAAGTTAACATCTATCTAGGTGGAGGAATGTTTGTTGTCAACATCCTAAGAAAGAAAAAACAAGGCCAAATTTCTGTTGCCAAATGCAACACACGTGTGTGTTTTTCCGTATGTTTATCATATAGCCAGGGGGCAACCAACTAGGCAACTGCAAAACTCCGCCATATCCAAACACCCAGTGTGATGTAGTAAAGGGAGTGATGGACCAGGACTCTGGAGGCTAGGGTTCAAATCCCCATTCAGATATAGAAACTCACTGAGGGTGTAGAACTGGTAAAACTTTAAATATTTAATTTCACTTACCTTGAAGCCCTGTTAGGGTTGCTAGAAGTTGGTTCTAACTTGACAGCATATAATCTCTCTCTCTCACACACACACACACACACACACACACACACACACACACACACACACACACACACACACACACACACACACACACACACACACAGACTTGTATTATTGTACACAGAAAATGAGTATATAGATTGCCAATCTGAAAATTATGGCATATCTGTAGTGCCCGTACATGTGACAAAAACAGATAAGAAATATCAATTTTATGTGCAAAATTTGATTGGGATGTTTACTTAGTACAACGTTCCTTAGTAATATAAAAGCTCTGTTTAGTAGTAATGGGATGCATTTTCGTTGTTGCAGCATTAAATTTAAGGGTGAACAGTTGATGGCCTTATAGTAGAGATGCTAAGCGTGGCCATCCAGCAACATCTGGACAACACAATCTTTGGTCCCTATTTAATGGCTGGAATTTTGTTCCTTAGCATAGTATGTTGCAACTAGAGTAGGCCCATTTGAACCAATAGAATGTGCAGTTGACTCACCAAATCTCCACTGATTCAGTGGGCTTACTCTAGTGTGACTTGGAATTTTAGCCAGCTAGTTAGTATTTTTGTTCAGAAAATATGTTAGCCATAAAACTAGAATCATAATTTAATCCTATGATTCACTGAGCCTTGGATGCAGTACTTTAAACTGCAGTACTGCAGTGAAGACTCTGCTCACAAACTGAGTTTGTTCCTGACTCAGGTAACTCGCTCGAGGTTGGCTCAACCTTAACATTCTTCCAAGGTCAGTAAATTGAATACCCAGCTTACTGGGGTGAGGAAAATGTGTAGCCTGCGTAACTAAATTATAAACTGCCCAGAGAGTGCTTTAAGCGCTATGGGGCGGTATGTAAGCAGCACACTAAATAATTTGGATTAAAATTAATCCATTCTGATGCCTTTCCATAATTCTCAGTTTGCTAGCACATAACAGTAGCACCATTACCACAAAGCCCTTGTAAAGACCTGTTGTTTTCTCACATTCAGACTGTACAAGAATTCTGCTAGACTTAGAAGTTTGTACTGTTTAATTTTCTAGATTTGTTGGTTCTAAACGAGGACCTTCTCTCATTAGCTTTGTGGCTTTTCTTCATGGAATCATGGCTATTTTTAAGATTCTCAGCAGCCCGCATGCTGAAAATTATTATAGCTTTCATTAAGAGCTATTTTCTGAAATGTTAGTCACCATGCCAAATATTTTGACAGGCATTTAATTGCAAACAGATGCTTCCAGAAAACTCTTTCTTAAATGCTGTCATTAGGGTTGGATTCATTTGAATCAGCCCTTAATCATCACTTGAGCATTTTATGACCTTCTCTCTGAGATTTTACTGATGTGTTTGTAACATTTACATAAATAGTTAAAGACACGGGCAAACAGAATGAGACACACCAGATGGGTCAACCACAGACTAGACTAAAGGAGAATTCTTATCATGTCTGATAGAACAAAAGTTGTGTGTCTTCATCTGCTTACATTCCCTTCCTTTTCTTTAATTATTTCTTTTGTTGTTTTTTTATTATTGTATTTAAATCCTGGCTGTCTTGGGGAAGAGTTCTTGCCTATTTTTAGCTGCACAGTAACCCTGTGTGGTAGGCAAGGTTGAGAGACTAGAATTGGATTATGATCAACCGGTGAGATTCATGACCAAGTTTGGATTTCTAGTAGGCAGATCTTTGGGCAGCCATGAAAGAACAGACCAAATCAAGAGCATTTGTTTGATTTTGGGGTGACTTTGAGGTGGAGCAGACACCAGCTGTTTACCTCCAAGGTGAGACAACATCCCAATAGATCTTCTTGCTCCATTGGCATTCCTAGAATTAAGAACTGAGAAAAGGAAGAGTGAAAGTAATACATACTATGCAGTGGTTGAAATCTAGTTGGAAGTTGCATTTAGAAATTTGGCGTATGAAGAAGTTGGCTTACCAAATCCCCATAGATTCAGTGGGCCTACTCTAGTTGCAACTTTGCTGTGTGTCCTCTTGTAGCCACTGTGCCAGCCATTTCATGGAGCTTTAGGACAAAGTGAAAAACTTGTCCCGCTGTTTAGACAGCCTTTTTTTTTTTTTTTTTTTTTTTTGCATTCTGGAAGACTCATCTTCTTTTTTTCCCCTTCTCTCCCTCAGCTACATTTACTAAACTTTACTAAAACATTATCACAATATGAGGATTTACTGTCCAAGTATTGTGGAAGGATGGTTGCTGTATGTGTTTTGGTTGGATAGGTCACACAATTAGGACATTGGGCTCTGTTTTTCATCCTCCTGCTTCCCCCCTTTTTCCCCCCTTATTTTCATGCAGTGTTGCTAGTGACAACCACTATATGGTTAGTGTTTGGCTGCCATGTTAAGATCTACTACATCCCCCAAATGGATGGCACTGGTGCTACACGCCACCCAGCTGTTTCAGGTCCCTTCCCCATTCATTTTTATTTTTTTAACAAAGAACTAGAAATGGACAGATAATCTCATGGACAACAGATGGAACAATCAGAATGTCTCTTAAAGCACACAGAGGAGATCAGTCCTGATCTGTGGGCTCAGTATTTGGATACTGAATGGGCCACGGCCTTCTGCACATGTTTAATTTCCCTCTTTAATTTGAACCTGGGTTTCCAGTACACACAACACTGTGCTACACTTGCTGTCATTGCAACAACCGTGGTCTTCCTCCACTTCCATCCTCATGGACATAGAAAATTTGCTTTGTACTGAGTCAGACCATTGCTCCATCTTCACCAATGCAGACAGTGCTGGAAGCAGCTCTCCAGGGTTTTATGAAAGGATTTTTCTTCTCCTTTGGGGCAGTAGGAATTGCAGCTGGGCCTTTCTGAGTACCGAACCGTAAACTCTATCACTGTGTTGTGTCCCATCCTTCACATTTGCACAAGTGGGCTTCCCACTTCTGTGGCAACAACCATGCCAGTTCTGCCTCAGCTGTGTCACAGCTGCCTGTTTTAGTCAACGTGTGTGTGTTCACACAGGACAGGAGCTCAGAAACCGAGGAGAGAGGAGGGGGAAGAGGACCAGCTCACTCCCAAGAAGCAAGAAGTTCTTATTTTCAGGGTAGTAGCAGGTGAAAGGCAAGGCCTCTGTCTGAGGCCCCAGAGATATGTTGATTGTCAGAGTAGCTGGGCTTAATGGACAAGTGTCTATCTTATGTAGGCATCATCCTACACCTTAACTGCAGCCTGGAGCAAGTAAGGGTGGAAAACAATTTTATTGGCTTTTATTGGTCTTGGGGAAATAGTTTTTTCACACTGTTCAGATGTGTTGAGAGAAGACATTCCCCCAGCCTCTCCCCCATATCTTGCAACCCAAGAGAGAAGACATACAGAAAGAAAACGCAGGTGGGACTGGTAGCAAGGCAGTGATATCAAAGCAGTGAGATTTTCAGTTCCTGGCTTGGGTCAACCTCAGTACAACCAGGGTGTGTTGAGATTTTCCATGTCCCTGGCCTGTCTGCCCATATAGACGTTGTTTCGTTGTCACTGATGCACCTATTCAAAAAAGAAACCGGTGTGATTAACTGTCACTGATACTGTCAATGATACTGATCCTAAACTGTAAAAGAGGACTTATGGGCCGAACAAAGGATATAGAAGTACAGAGATTTATTTATTTATTTATTTGATTTGATTTATACCCCGCCCATCTGGCCTAAAAGGCCACTCTAGGTGGCCTTTTAGATTTGTAGGACAAGGGCTGAACTAGGGAGAGAAATCATAGAACAACTCAAGACTGAGAATGTTCAGTGGATGCTGGTTTAATGTTTGGGGGGAAATGTATGGAAAAGAGATAGAAGTAGATATAGAAGATGATAGAAGAGGAAAGTTTGAAATGCAACAAAACTTGGCCTCCAGCTCTGAAACAAGACACACTAATCACCCATCTCCTGAAAAGGGCAAAAGCCTATCTCACAGCCATAAATACTCCACTCCCAAGCAAACTACACCAGAGCACAGAGTATTGTCCTCTGAAGATGCCGGCCACAGAGACTTCAAAATATGGCCAAAGAGCCCGAAAAACCCACAACCAGATAGAAGTGTCTTTTTCCCTACTTCTCTGTTGTCCTTTTTTCCTTCCTCCTGAATATGGTTATTATTTGACATTCTTAATGGTTACAAATTATATCATATTGTTCAGAAAACAGTACTTAAAATTTGAATTTTAAAAGTATTTAGGATTTTTGTGTTCTGGAAGAAGAATCTCAAAGTGTGATGCTGGTACAGAATTTGTTTTCATACATTGCCTTTTCATTCCAGAATGAATGAAGAACAGATTGCTACAGTTTGTCTGTCTGTATTAAGAGCACTGTCTTATCTTCACAACCAAGGAGTTATTCACCGGGATATCAAGAGTGATTCAATACTTCTCACAAGTGATGGGCGAGTAAGTGTTTAACGTTTCTTGCAGTTGATTTTCTTTTAATTATGAAAATGTATGATACCTCATGGAACTCCTTAACATAATTGGAAAGTAATGTGTGGAAAGCAGGGGTGTGCACTGACTTTGGGCAGGTATGTGAAAACAAATGGATTTCGGAATATGTGCATTTCTGACCACTGGGTGGAGCAAAGAGGCCAGAGGCTTTAATAGTCAGAGTGGCACACAACAGATACCTCTTGTTGAATCCAGCATTCATGCATTGTGATTAGAAATGGGAGAAAGAAAGAAAATCTCAGGAAGATGCTGAATTGGTGACAAAGGAGAGTATACTTGTAATACCTTTAAGTTCTATGGGGCTATTTGCTTACTATTGATGAATCTTGCAAAAACAATTTCACAAAAATAGTGTCTTCTTTGTAGTCATATAACAGTCAACACGAACTATTAAAACAACAACAACATGCTAGAATTTGTGCAGCCAAGACCTTAACAACAGCACCAGTGTAGGAGTGCCCTGCAGAATTTGCAAACTTCAAGCATCCCTACTATTTCAAAATCTGACAAAAATCCGCAATATCTTCCTCAGCTAGATTGGGTATCCATAACACAAAAGAATCTTGAAAAATCTAAAATAAATTATCAGTAGTGGCAGTGGTTTTGTTATGCTGTGGTTTGCACAGGGGATTGTGCAAGAAGTTATGTAGCTAGAATTCTTTGTATGGCCATTTTTTTCCTCTGGTGTAACATAGCAGGGACTTTTAGGCAGATCTAAGGGTAGAAAATCTATGCCCCCTCCCTAATTTTGTTGAATTCCAGTTCCCATCAGCCCTTACTGTTATGGCATCTGGATAAGCACAATGAAAACAATAGTTGGTCGGTAACTGGGAGACTGAAAATTCCTTCCCTCTGGTCTACAGCAAGACCATCACAGTTGGGTAGCATACTTCAAGGGGTGGCAAATGGATAAGCCAAAACCTTTCATGTGAATGAGTGGTTTCCAACTTGGGCCCCATATTGTCTTGAAGTACAGTTCCTGGAAGCCCCAAGCCCATTGCCTCTGCTAGTTAGGGCTTCTGGAAGTTGTAGTCCCAGATCATCTGATACCCTCAACTTGGTAACCGCTGGTGTAAGTGCACAAGCAAACAGAGTTGGGGGTGTCCTAAATGACTTTCGTGTCCGTCATCATGTCAACAAGCTAATTGGGGAACAGAGCTAAAATACCAAAAGTTACAAAAACAGTGAAGTAGCAAGGTGGAAAGCTAGGAAATGGAATTTTTTTGAAGATTCGAAAGTCATGTGTGATGTATGAAAATGCAAAGTAAACAAGACAAATGTGGCAGCAGCACTAGGGAACTTTGGGGGATTGTTCCTCCCACCCACCAGCCATGCAGTAAAGAAGCCTTTACAGTAAGGAAGAACTGTTAAGGACTGATGTAAGCACATATCTGTGGCGATGGCAGTGCTTATTTTAAAAAAGAATAGAGGGTTTCCAAATAAGGCTGAAAAGGGTCAGCCCTACAGTTTTACCCTACCTTCCCAGCCATTTGCTCCTGCTCCCGGTGCAACAGTGCACAGTAATGAATATATGACTGACATTTCAGCTGCTCTATTCAAATTCATGTGTGCACAATAAAGAAAGCAATAGTACTAATGAGTGTAATGTGGCAGCCATACTCAGTATCTGCTCTGATTTAGAGCAGGATGTGGGGTGGGGGGAGAACCTGTAGCCCTCCGAATTTTGTGGGACTGCAGTTCACATCAGTCCTAGCAAGCGTAGCTAGTGGTGATGGATAATGGGAGCTGCAGCCTGATATCTGGATGCTCCCCAGCTATTCCTCAATCCTTAATTGGGTAATTAATTCAGTCTGTCCTCCTTTTGTTTTTTTGAAAGCTTATGGGAAGCTGGGTGACAAGTCCAGCTCCAAGGCTGATCGCGCTGACCAGTGGCTTATATGGCAGAACCCCATTGACTTCAAGGGGATGTAATCCACCTCACTGGAGATTTAATCATTTACAAATCTTCCATACTCCGAGAGGCACAGGTTAACTTTTGCAGAACTTCTCCACAGTGTGTGCCTGTGCGTGACTGACCTACATCAAGGAAAAAAGAATATTATTTCTCTTACTATGAATGCTCTTCAGCTTTTTGTTTTTACGGCACCGCTGCTAGAAAGCCACCTGATCTTTGCTTTGTAGATACACATACAATGCTGCATTATGCTTATTGCTCCTGTGCTTATTATCTGCAGTGCACATTTTGTCAAGAGTGGTTGCATAATCATCTTATTTTCCTCTCTCTTTTAATTTGAAGAAGCATCTTTTTATATACTCAGGAGAGCAATAGAACATGGAAACGCCTCTTGCACTCCTACATAAAGGGGAAGGGATCTGGCACACAAAATACGCATTTGTTCATCTCTTCTTCGTGGGATGAAAAGAAGGTTTTTTGCCATGGTTGGGCTTTGCATTATAAATAGCACCGATTATTTCTAATTCCCAACCCATTTGAGGTGAAATTTGGGAGAAATCAGTGAAAAGCCCTTGATTAAAAGTAACGTCTGCAGCAACGCCAAAATAAGACAGACAATGCCAGGCTCCACAACCCAATCATTTTAGAAGCTTCTTAGGAGCTCTGCCTACAGCTTCATCTTCTAGATCCCAATCTGTAGCCTGACATGACAAATTATCGCATAATGTAATGCATTGCTTTGTTTATTTCTGCCGTGCAACGTTGGGACTAAGTGTTCAATCACCATCCTTGTTTATTGTGCACAGAGGATAGTGGTGGATGTTGCTTTGATGTACAAGAGCAATTGGCAAATCTAGTTTTGCTGTGCATTGTTGAAGAATGCTTCCTCGTTTTATTTGAAATACATAGTTGCTCCACTTAGAAAACTGAGCAAGCAATTGTACATACATAACATCTACAGTATTATGAAGTGAACAATGTAAATACAAAACTGAAAAACAGGAGACCGGGAAAGTTCCCTCGTGCATTTTGACACAGACTGATGTTAGTATAGCAACAAGTGGATTGGTTCCCCTGCCCCTAACCAACTCTTTTGAATCTATTTGTATTAACAACTTTTTACCAAAGGTCCAACTCCGAGGATTGTAAAGTCTTCCTCTGGAAAAAAAATGAAAAAATTCAGAATCATGTTCACTCTTTGTCAGAGCTTGGAACGTATGGCCTCAATGTACAGTGGTGTATTAAAGCTAAAAACAATAAGTGTACGAGTATTAAAAAGGGGGGAAAAACAGATGCCACTCTGAGGAATGGAACACATAAAACCAAGTCAAATCAGTAATGCATAGTAATCCATCTAAAAAATTACACTCAGGTAGCCAGTTACTGCGGGCAAGCTTGCCTGAAAAGAAAAGTCTTTGCTTGTTTGCAGAAGGATAGCAAAGATGGACCAGCCTTGTTTTTTGTCTTAGTTACATTGCCTACCCACCAGTAAGCTCAATGTGGTGCACATGTCACTTTAACCTTTATAAGAGGTCTGTGAAGTAGGCAGAAGGTCTGTCTGTCTCTCTGTCTGTGTGTATGAGAGAGAGAGAGCAACTCAACCAAGGTAACCTAGGGAGTTTCAGGGCTCATCAGTGACTTGACCCTGGCCCTACCAAACCCCAGTCCAACACCCAGACCCCTATATCATGTTGCTACTTTAAAGCATTTTTTCCTCTTCCTGAGGATGGGTGGATTCAACTGGCCTGCTCGACACCATTTGTTTCCTTGCCATTTGTCATCTGTAGGCAACGGCTGCGATCCCAGCCTGCTCATGGGACCCACCATTGATAACTGACACATTCCCACCATAGTATTTATTTCAGTCCAGGATTCTGAGAAGTGACGGGTGGTTTTGTCTGGCGGCTTTTTAAATTTACCACAGTGCCTTTGAGGTACTTTCACTGCAGGACACTATAGGACACTGAAATCGCAGCTTTTAAGTTGCCCCGTGCTACTTGGAGCACCGCTACTAGATGAGCTTCTGTAGCTCATAGTAGAGAGGGACCATTGGTAGCCACTACTCTTAGCGATTGATTTTCAGTTCACCTCTCAGGTTGTGTGTTTCACTCTGCATGTCTTTATTGTGAGCAGAGGACTCTGTGATTTTTTTTTTTTACTGTGGGTTTAAATGGACTCGCCTTCCAGGTTTCCTGCATTTAAATACAAGTGAATAGTTCCTGTCTCCATATGATGACAATGTGCAATAAATATTGCCATTTATTTTAATAACCAATTCCCCATTAGAAGGGATTACTAGTAAATTGAGTTTCATGCCACCAGATCTATTTATTTCAATTGGTACTAAATTATTAGTGTTAATTAAAAACAACAACAACAACAGCAGACTTCTGCAGTTCAAGTGGTATTAAGATAGTACTATTAAATTAGATTTTTCCAGTTGTCCTTTTCTAGCAGCCCTGTTCTTAGGCCCATAGACTCAGACTTTTCAAGAAGGTTTGCATGGGACAGTGAAGAGAAATGGGCAGAAACATCTCAAATGTTGTGACAGATGATTCATTCCCCATCAACTAAGAACAGAGGTAACATAAGGATACTAATTCTGAGAAACTTAGTTTCACATAAGCCCCAGTAATTTTAATGGACCTTGAGTTCATCTCTGTCTGCTGTTAAGCATCAGCCTGAAATGAGGGAAGGCAAAATGTATGAAAGTGGAAACAGTTCCTCTCTTTTCCCACCCTAATTATATAGAATCTTGTGGGGTCAAGTTGATTGCAACTTCTGGTGACCCTTTTTAGGGTTTTCAAGATAGCAGCTATTCAGAAGTCTCTTCCCATTCTTTTCTTCTGGGAGCGCTTTGAGACGGTGCAGCTCCCCCAAGGCTACATAGGCTTACATTTCTCTTGGGAGGCACAGTGAGGAATTGAGCTGCGAACTCTCTGGCTCTACAGCCACATCCAGTGCTTTTCTATCTTATTAGAAGAATATTAGTTGGAAGGGGCCATAGCTGAAGAGGCAGGGCATAGTGTTCACATACAGGTGAACCAAGGTTCCACCCCAACAATCTCTAGGTAGGAGAAGGAACAACTATGGCCTGAAACCTTCGGGGTAGCTGTCGATCAGGGTCAGCAACAATGAGCTAAATGGTCCGATAGTCCAACTCAGCAGAAAGCAGCTTCCACAGATGGACATGAAGCGTTTTCCTTCTTCTTGGGTGCTTTTGAAACAGTGTAACTCTGGACCTACTACAAAGCACAACATCTGCATCATTTGGGGTGGCAAACCAGAAACACAGAGACTGCACCTGGCTCTCAGCATATTGTTGTGTGGTCTTCGGCATCATCCTGCTATCCAGAACCAGTGGGATCTCTTTTGCTTTCCAGACTCTCTCACTGGGAATCACCTTTGCTGCATATCTGTGCATGAGTGAGTGTGGATAAGAGAGAGAAAATTAGTGCCCACGGAGGCAGGAGGAACAGAGATGGAAGGGGCCAGGCAGTGCTGCAATGATCTCCCACTTGAGGCTTCACCCACCACTGGATCCGGTTCTGCCCACCATTGCCTGCAAAACATCATTTAACATTTCCCATTGGTCAACAGCCCTTTAGAGGAAGCAGATCCTCACCCCGGAGCTAAGCTGTACCATCCATATTATGGGCATCTGCTGACTACTGTATAGACACTGTACCGTCCACTTCATTAATTTTCCTGATGTATTTTGTTTGTTTGTTTTTTGTTTTAGATAAAATTGTCAGATTTTGGCTTCTGTGCCCAAGTTTCAAAAGATGTTCCAAAAAGAAAATCCCTTGTTGGAACCCCATATTGGATGGCACCAGAAGTGATTTCCAGACTGCCTTATGGAACCGAGGTAAGATAAGCTACTGTCTTGTCCACCCAGAGATGTCTGTTAGGTTTTTTTAAAGCCCGTTCCCTCATTTCATATTTGTTTATTTAAAGCCTCTTCATCCAAAAAAAGCTCTTACAGCAGTTTATGTAAGAGCAATGAAAATGGAGACCACCTTTGTTTATAAGCTTGTAGTTGAAAGGCACAACACCAAAGGAAGAAGGTGTGAGGAGAGAAGAGGAAAAACAAGCATAATGACCAGCCCGCATGGAAAGAGTTCAGAAGCACCAAATGGAGCTCCTGTCTCAATAGCACCGATAGAGCAGCCCTGCTGCTCCTCAGCTCTCCTTTGGTGTAGGCAAGTGGCCTCATCACTGGTATGTGACAGTTGAAGGAGAGTGGAATATAATGGAGATTATGTTTAACCAGAATGGATGGAGGAGTCTAGCTTCCCATCTTTCCCTCTGCTGATGGGCACTTCACAGCCCATTAAGACCCCCCCCCATGGTTAGTGTGATTTATTGTTATAAGTAACAACATACTTTCAAAATATCACATCACATTTACTTTTTCCTATGAAGACAATGGCACGCGAATTGGTGATGCTTTGCCACTGGTTCATTGTTCCATGATAGCAATTATCACCATATGAAAATTATTGCAAAGACGTGCACATCTCGCTAGCTTACATGGCACGTTTCTCCTTCCAGTCACGTGTGTTTTTGTGCATTTTAAAGATAATATGAAATGCCCCCGGGACTAGTTCTCAACTGCTGTCTGATTCCTACCACTATTCTTGTATGACGAAAAATGATGTCACCTTAGGAGCTGTGTTGATTAAGATATTTAGGACCACAAGGGAGTTTGATACCACAAACATATGAACAGGATTGTTGTACAATACTATCAGGCAAAGAACACAACTGGGGAGAGAATTTGAATGTGAAATTATATAGTAGGCTGAAATCCTATTGCATAACTTAACGTCATGCAGCTTTGAGGAAGTCATTACCCGGACAATACTATAGCCACTTGGGGGGGGGATCAAAAGCTTTCTAGCCCTGCCCCTCAATTCCTGGGTTCCCTTAGGATCCTGTTCATCCTGGCAAGACTTTAGGAACTGCAGAACACAGTTGGGAACAATTTAAAATCCGAAAATAGCTGCTGTTTCTATTACTTTTAAAAGTTAATAAAAGAATTAACCATGCTATGAGAATAAAGCATTTGCCGATAGCCTTTTTCACTGTACTAAATGGATCCACATTGCAGGTGGATATCTGGTCCCTTGGCATCATGGTAATAGAAATGATAGATGGGGAGCCACCTTATTTCAATGAGCCGCCTCTCCAGGCGATGCGCAGAATCCGAGACAATTTACCACCAAGAGTGAAGGATCTACATAAGGTGAGCATGTCATGCTTTTGAGGAGCCTTGTGCTTGTGGAAAGGCATTCCTGTTGTGCAGCATATCGCTGAGCGGCCAGCCCCTGAATCTTTGCCATTTCAGCCCATCCTTCCCCATCCTTCTGGTTTTTTTTCTAGAGATCTTGGACTACAGCTCCCATCTCTCCCAGTCAGCATGGTCAGTGGTAAAGGATGATGGCACTAAGACATCTGAAGGCCATGCCAGGTCAAGGAAAGTTGTTTCAGGTTCTGATCTAACAGAGAGGCCCGTGTAGTTGTGCATACACCTTCGAGTCATGAGTAGTATCTGTGCCAACATTAACCTTGCAGTCGCAGCCACTCCTGCCGTGTTTAAATGTTATGCCCACAAATGGTTGTTTCGCAGGGCAAGGCATGCCCATTAGCCAGGGTAGGAAAATGCATTCTACCATTCTGTGGACAAAAAGAAATCACAGAAGAACAATTGCCCTCTTAGCACATTTGTATCTATCAGCCCTCGGTTTGTATATGCTGGCTTTGTTGCAGGCTTAGAGATAAGGGGAGGGAAGAGCCCTCTTTCTCTCAAGCCCTCCATTGGCTGAACAATGCCAGTTGTCACCACACTCCTGACATCATCTAGTCCCTCTTTTGCCCACTGGAAAGGCCATGGAAGGACATGCAGGGAAATTCTGGGCACCAAAGGGAGGAGCTTCATGGTGAGATTCTTGACAGGCTGGGGGGAAGACCTCCATGGGCCCCATATTGAGCTCTAGGGCAGGAATGTTCCCTTTCCTGATTCGTAAGTGGCTCCTATTTCATGTGTTGGGATAAAAAAGAACATGGAGCTGGATTCCAGTCTCTGTTTAGTTGTCATCATTGTTTATCAGAAGTCTTTAGAAAAGTAAGTAATACCCAAACTCATGTAAGGCACGCCAAATAGGAGATAAATATTTATCAGTATTCAATAAATTGTTTTCACCAACATACAGCTGAAAATAATTTGTGCTAGTTTTGCTTCTGACTCATGTTCTCAGTGTCTTGATATCTTGTGACAGGCTGATGATAGCTATTCTTTTATCTGCGCACAATTGGTATCAGTATTTCTCTGATCATTTTCACATTTATTTGTGGGATTTATTAAATGCACAATAGCTCTTGATGCCAGCTTGCAATATGGAAATAATAACCCTGGCCTCTTTTTATGGGTTGCCGTAAAGTAGGGGTGAGGAACACATGGCCCCAAACACCAGCCTAAAAGCTGCTTCTGCTGTCTCTCATTAGCAATTAGAGATTCGAGGGCGGCTCTAGCGTGGGAAGCCGTTGCACAGAAAAGAGCTCTGGTTTACAAACCAGAAAAACTGTTGCCTAGATGATAACTCTGCTTTTTAGCTAGAGGAGCTCCTGCACTGGGGCTTACTCCTGAGAAGACATTGTCAACCTAGGCAATTTCCCACTAAGTTTAATCCAAACACTGGCTTATGTTTTGTACACTCAGTAGGAAATTATCCCAGTTGGGAAGAATTACACCTGGCCTCAACTATGTTACTTTGGTTCACCCTTCCCTGACATGTGTGTCCTGGTTTTTCAACCTAGACAATTTCCCACTAAGTTTTATCCAAGCACTGGCTTGTGTTTTGTACACTCAGTAGGAAATTGGCCCATTTGGGAAGAATTACACCTGGCCTCAGCTATGTTACTTTGGTTCACCCTTCCCTGACATGTGTCCTGGTACTTTCCGAAACTGAAAGTTGAACGCTGAGTCAAAGAGAAGAAAAGAAATAGTTCTTGGCTCTGTTTTTAAAATGGCTTAAGAAAAGTCAAGCCATGATAAAGAATAGAATGGGAATCATATTTAATCTTAATCTTAACCATTTTAGAACTGCAGAGCTGGAAGGGACCCTATGGATCACAGAGTCTGGCCCCTGTCAAGGAGGCACAGTGGGGAATCGAACTCTTAATCTCCGGCTCCAGAGCCAAAACCTATATTGCCAAGCCATACAGCAGTTGATTTCAACACTCCTTTGTCTTTAACAACAACAGAAACATACATTCTTCTGTATAGAAGGAACCCAACACAGCAGTAAGAGGCATGGACTAGTGATATGACGTATATTTGTTCTTTCTTGCAGGGAGGTTTTAAAAAGATGACATAGATTCTCACTCAAAAATATAATAGCTACACCACCAGATTTCTGGGTATGGAGGAATTTTGTCCACCTGACCACATCACAACTCAGCTGTTAGTTTCTCAACCTGCTATCTGAAAATAGAGATGCCCACGTGTCTTGAAGGATACTTGATCCCATAATCATACTGCAAGCATGGGATATCTGCAAGTGCTTGAAAGCCCTGCCACCACTTTCTCCACTTTTTCTTGCTCTCCCCAGAACCTCAAAATGCAAAAATGAGGAAGGAAGAGCAGATATTCCAGCGCTTCGGAAAAGCATCAAATCCCACCTTCTCCTGGGTGGGATTGGAGTCACTCTCACTGAATCATACCTGCTGGAGTCCTATTGATAAATTTCAGTGACAATGTGCCACAAGCTAATACATCAGCATAGGCATTTCTTGAATCCCACTGAGTTACACAACTTATGTCTGATAGCAGATGCCTACACTGACTTCTTAACTTGTGGAAATTCACCACTGAAATTTATGCCAGTGGAGGTACTCTGTTGGGCATAACTAACAGCATTCTGTCTGTCAACTCCATGGTGACGTCCACAGCAGTGTAGCCTTCTGCTAAGGAGCTGGAGACTCCCTGTATCTCCTATGCCAGATGAATTTAGGAAGCCATTTGGGAGTTCTGGAAGAAGTGCACACATACTTACGAGTTATCTTTCTGAGGCATTCACATTATTTATTTATTTATTTATTTATTTATTTACTTACTTACTTACTTACTTACTTACTTACTTACTTACTTACTTACTTACTTACTTACTTACTTACTTACTTACTTACT